TTTTTTTGGGGGTTTTTTTTTTTTTTTTTTTTTTTTTTTTTAATTTATTGTTTGAAAGTATTACAGGTGTCCCACTTTTTCCCCCCAATAGACCCCTTCCATCTTGCTCCCTCCCCATCCCTAGGCCTTCATTCTGTTATTGACTGTGTCTATGGGTTATACATATATGCATATTACTTCTTTGGTTAATCTCATCCCACCTTCCACCCCCCTTCCCTCTGAAATATGATCATCTGTTGCATGTGTCAATGTCTCTGGATCTATTTAGTTCGTCAGATTCTTTTGTTCATTACCTTCTTAAAGAGCAGCCTTCAACATTTCCTGTAGTGCTGGTCTGGTGGTGATGAACTCTTTTAGCTTTATCTTAACAGTGAAGCTCTTTATCTGACCTTCAGTTCTAAATGATAGCTTTGCTGGGTAGAGCAATCTTGGTTGTACTTCCTTTGTTTTTCATCACTTTGAATATTTCTTGCCACTCCCTTCTGGCCTGAAAAGTTTCTGTTGAGAAATCAGCTGACAGTTGTATGAGTGCTCCCTTGTAGGTAACTAACTGCTTTTCTCTTGCTGCTTTTAAGAATCTCTCTTTGTCTTTAACCTTTGGCATTTTAATTGTGATGTGTCTTGCTGTGGGCCTCTTTGGGTTCCTCTTGTTTGGAACCCTCTGTGCTTCCTGGACTTGTAAGTCTATTGCTTTCTGCAGGTAGGGGAAGTTTTCTGTCATTATTTTTTCAAATAGGTTTTCAATTTCTTGCTGTCTTCTCCTTCTGGCACCCCAATAATATGAATGTTAGACCTCTTGAAGTTGTCCCAGAGGCTCCTTACCTATTTTCATATTTCTGNTTCATATTTCTGGATTCTTTTTTCTTTTTGCTCTTCTGGTTGGGTGTTTTTTGTTTCCTCATGTTCCAAATTGCTGATTTGATTCTCAGCGTCCTCTACTCTACTGTTGATTCCCTGTAAATTATTCTTCATTTCAGTTTGTGTAGCCTTCATTTCAAATTGGTACTTTATCATATCATCAATTTTCTCAGTTGTTTTCATAATACTCTTACTAACATGGTTGAGCATCCTTACAAACAAAATTCTGAACTCTGTATCTGCTACCTTGCTTGGTTCTATTTCATTTAGTTCCTCTTTTAGAGATTTCTGCTTTTCTTTGTGACATGTTTCTTTGCCTCCACATTTTGGCTGCTTCCAGGTGTTTGNCATTTTGGCTGCTTCCAGGTGTTTGTTTCTATGTATTAGGTAGAGCTGCTATGTCTCATGGAATTTGTAGAGTGGCTTTGTATAGTAGGTGTCCTGTACGGTCCAGTGGCTCAGCCTCCCTAGTCACCTGAACTGGGCTTTCTAGGAGCTCCTCTGTATGGGCTGTGTCCTCTGACCTGTTGTAGTTGAGCCTTGGTTGCTGTTGGCGTCACTGGGAGGAACTGACCCCCAGGCCAATCAGCTGTGAGGACCAGCTGCAACTACAGCCAAAGAGCTGCTGTGCTGGAGACACCCCTATGGAGCAGGACTTACTTCAGTGGAGCTTTGGTGTTCACCAAGTGTGCCCCTTGTGTGTGTCACTTGTGGATGT